AAGATACAGGTAAAGAAGAGTACAGAGATAGGAACAAATACAGGTAGGGAGAAGGATAGGGATACAGATAAAGAAAGAACTGAAAATTAAGATACGTTATGTTGCTCACCACATTTCATCACACCCCAACTCACCTCATCTTACCTCCGTTCACCTCAATTCACCTAAAGTTGCCTTTACTCACCTCACCTCACCTAAATTCACCCCAACTCAATTTACCTCACCTCAACTCCCCGTGACTCTCTTCAAATCAACTAAACTCATCTCACTCAGCTCACCTCAACTCACCTCCATTTACCTCAACTCAACCCACCTCAACTCACTTCAACTCACCTCAACTCACCTCACCTGATCTCATCTCAGCTCAGCGAAGCAAATCAAAAAAATTATTATTTTGTTTCTGAATTGATCAGATAATCCAATCTCAAATAAAAGTTTTGTCCTGATTTTCGATGTGATAAATTTAAAATATCTCCATCCAGTGTTATGTTCAGCAGATCGCGGTATATAACTACAATAGAAGTCTTTATTTCCGCATCCTTTAGAGTTAGAGCTTACATACTAAGCACCACTTGTAAGATTGCAATACTAATAAGTGAAATCACATATACATTAGGGTGACCCATTTTTTTTCTTCCAGCCACCTTCCGATCTGAAGAATATCTAAAATAAGGAGACACATATTTTTTTATTTTGTAATCGATTAATGTTTACCCGGGGCTTTGAAGTTTCCAATCTATTTTACATGGGGAAAATAATTTTTTTCGTAAAATTTCTATAAAATCGTTAAAAATAATTTTTTTTTTTACCAAATAAGACTATTTCCCTTCAGAAGTTTTAAAAAAATAATACTATGATGCTTATTAATCGGCGTGGTACCGACTAATCAGTTTAGTTGCCTTTGGCGCTTAACCCATCAAAGGAAGTGTTTCTTTTTCAACTGTAATCAATTGTTTAAGTGTCGTGGAATATTCAGGTGAAGGTTTTTTATCATTTATTTGGTATTTTCCTATATTTTATATTTAGTGTTTTCTAATAAAAAAGTGAGCACAAACTAAATTTCATCGAAATCGGATGAAATTTAATGTTTCCGCCCACAAGAGTGGAGGGCGTGGCAATTATTCCATCTTTACAGAATTTCGTAATTCCTTATTTTTAAGTAAAGTTAGAGCAAATGTCAAGTTTCAGCGAAATCGGTGGATGTTTCCACCTGCCTCCATATAGTCGAAACACTTTGCGGCGCACAGTGGGGCAAAAAAAGGTTGCTGTGGACAAATCAATTTTGAGAGCCCAAATATGAACCGATTTAAAGTTTCATCTTTTTAAATAAGGGATAATTAAATTTCGCGTCGATCTATCCCTGGCGTTTTTTTTTTTAAAAGCTCTGGTTTTTTATTTATTTATGTTAAAAAATGAAAGAAAAAAAATTTAACGTTTAAATGCTTCCAATCTTTTGGAAAATACTTGAAATTATTTTCGAATGCCTGCAATTATTTAAAAAACTATTCATAAACATTTTTCCATAGGATACATTTAATTAATCGCCACGGATAGATCGACGCGGAATTTAATTATCTTTTATTAAAAAAAAAAGAAACTTGAAATCGGTTCATATTTGGGCTCCCAAAATTAATTTGTCCACAGCAACCTTTTTTGCCCCACTATGCGGCGGCACGAATAAATATTAACCGATTTCATATTAAAAAAATACGTGTCTCTTTATTTTTGATATTCTTCAGATCTGGGGGGTGGCAACAGGAAATTAGAAAAAAGTTTATTTTCCTACATTTGTATTTTTGGGCCACCCTAATATACATACATATAATAGTAGTATGCATACACATTAGTATAAATGTATGATGTTTAGCTAAATATATACGCTGCAAATGAACTATGGCGGCTTAGGCCAAGCTCATTCTAAACATACATTTTTTTTATTTATAAATATGTAATACTGCATATTGGCACAAGTTCCTGTTGCGCTTGGCGAATGCAAGCCTTAATTGCAAGTTAGTTGTTTGTTTCAAATGTGTGCACATGCAGAAGCGCTTATGCAGCGATAAATTGACTCTTTGAATTTGTGTTAATTATGTTGATTTATAGCGTTGTAAAATCATAGCGCCACGCCGCCAACTTGTGTGGTTTATCCAGCGTACTTACGAGTAACTGCTTGACCGCTTACATTACACGATCAAACGGCTGTTCGACTAAGCAATGCGGCTTGTTTAGATTTTAAAGGTGAAAATGGGGTGTGTGCGTATATAATTAATGTGGTGATTGGTTTGCAGACAGTGCAGCGTAGCGCTGAGCACAACTACCACAGAAGCGTTCGTTTATAATTGTAATTGCTCCAAA